TGCTGAGGCTAATAGTGAAGCTATTCAAGAACAAATAACAAGGTTAGTACCTATTGTAAATAAAATTTAAGAAAATTGTTTAGCTAAATGGGTTGATGGAATGTTATCTAATATGCTTAAATTTATTACAGAGTTCTTTTGGAGAGATTGATTGTTAACAGACCTCATCCTTGGGGCTTATTGATCACATTTATTGAGCTGATAAAAAATCCAGCTTACAAGTTTTGGAACCATGAGTTTGTACATTGTGCACCAGAAATTGAGAAGTAAGCTATTCTATGTTATAGTTGTGCAATATTACATATTTTTACTGGATTTAGTACATATTTTTGTAATGCTTCTAATAATGTTCAAAAAAAGTAGTTTTGCATTGCTGTATAATACCTGCTTGACATTGATTATTTATGTTAAAAAAATTGCCAAGCTAAATTTAATAATTTGCTTAAAATTATTTCATAGGCTTTTTGAATCTGTTGCCCGTTCGTGCATGGTTCATAAACAACCCAACACTTCGACAGATGGCGGAGATTTACCAGATTTATAAATTTTCATTTTTATTGAATAGGTTTTGTTGAAAAATGAAGTCATATATATTTTTTATGTTTTATAATTTTGTAAGGGAAAAGACGAAACAAATTTTTAAGTAATTAAGAATACATATCGTATTAAAGTAAGATCAAAGTAACAAAAAACAAAACGTATTCTATTAATGTAAAATTATTTTCCTTTTTATATTGTCTATGCATGTAAAATAATTTGAAGTATACATATTTATTAAATGTAAAAATTAGTAACCAAATTTATTAAAGGATAGTGAATTTTTAATTATAATGTACAATATTAGTATAATTTATTAGTTAATAATTATAAATAGAATTTAAATAATATTATGACTTAGTTTTTGTTTATCCCTGTGTTCTATAGATCCATCCTCTCATTTCGATGAGATAATCTGTGGTTTCAGTTGACATTTTATGTTGTGTAATAATTTAATGTAATTTTAAAATTAATTTTATGTGTTCTCCATATACCAATTCCCAATTTTATTTTTAGAATTATGTTTATGTACCTTCCAACCTTTATAAAATAAACTTAAAAGTATATATTTTTTCTATAAAAAAAATAATAGTCTACATCAGCGGTTCCCAACCTTTTTAGTTTAGCGGACCACTAATTTTGTAAAAAAAATATTTGAGGCCCACCCATAGCATACCTATATACGTTTTCATAAAACTATAATATATATTATATACATATATACATGTATATATAGTTATTAGGAATAAAAAAATTAAGAAAATGAAAAAAAAAATTTATTAGAAAAAAACTTAATTATATTATATATATATAATATTATATAATATACCTATGGCTCACAGCCCAGTGCCATGCTGATTGGGGCCCATAAGTGGTCCGCGGCCCAAGGGTTGGGAACCGCTGGTCTACATAATGTCATACAGTTGTGCCGCTGCATTGATATAATTCATTGATGATGAACTTCAATTGGCTCAAACATATTCATATTATCACAAATGGGGTTTTTCTTGTAAGATACTGTGTACCTACTGTATCTACCTAATAATATTAAATAAATTATACCGGTTCTTACAGTGTTTAGTAATGGTTAACCGACGGTTAGTGGGATTTTTACCTGCTGAATTTGCCGGTCAATTATTGTGTATGGCGATTGATAATTGTTGTAAATGACGGAGACAGTGTTAACAATCATAAAATCTCAATAAGCAAGATTAAAATGATCAAAAAAAAAAAATATTGCAATCCTTTAAATTTTATTTTTCATAATTTGAAGTATTTTTAGTTCAATTCTGTTTCCACGTCGGCAGATCAGTCTCGCCGCAGAAGTCTTTATGTAAGTATATTTTTGTTTTATTTTGGTTCTTGAATTTACATTTTAGATTTCACTGTTCAAAACTATTAATTATTCTAGTTAATCTGTTAGACGTAATATATTAGGTTAGGTTAGTCCTGTTATTGTTATGTCCTGTAAAATTCAACAATTGTATAATGACTATAATGTTTTCAAAAGTGTCAGGTAAATGAACAAAAAATAAGGAAAACTGAGGTTTATTCGTGAAGCAAGTTTTCAAAAAATCGATTAAGTACTCTGAAAAAAAAACCAAAGGTACATGGTATTTTAATTGAATATTTATGTCAATTAGCACTTTCTATGCATCATAATATTCAAAACATTGCAATTCTTTATAAGTAATTTATAGGCATAAGACAATTTTTAAAGACAAACGTTGGATATTCAACCGTAACAAATTCTCATACAACTAATGATACCCTCGGCAACATGGGCCATTGGGTTTACAGTGAGAAATAGTAATTATTTTAAAATTACTTTTAATCTTAGGTACTTGAAATTTTTTATCAAATATTTGTTTCATAATTTTCTGTACACAACAAAATATTAAATCAAGTTTCTTCGTATTGAGTATACTCGGAATTTAAAATTGTTTAGTTTTTTATCCTATATGATTGTCAATCAAATTTTATTCTCAGTCGTAGAGCTTGAAAACTTAAAGCAAGATTCCGTCAACAATTATCATCAAGTGATGAGTTAAAAATTTAGTTCACTCCAATTAGGTAAGGATTAAAATAATTTGAATAATATTTCAATAAAATCTCTCTGTGCTTGTAACCAAATTAAATAATCAGAACAACTGGAATATTCACATCTTGCGTTTGTGACAGAGGTGCCCGGGCCCACCCAAAATTTTCAAAAACAATAATTTACATTTTGAATATTGGCATTCAAGTTGTTATTTTAGTAATTTTACTATAGGTTTTAAAATTGATTTTATCAAATATATTATATATTATGTACTATAATCGTGCATGGGGAGTATAACAAAATAACATATATATAGGTACCTTTTATAATAGGTTATTATTATTTATTAATAACATGCAATTGTCCATATGATTAACCTAATTTTATCTAAATATGATATACCTATTGCAGTAAATAAATATTTATTAGTGTTAAAATGTTTAAAATAGGATCACTTTTACATCTTTAGTATCAAGCTATAAGTCAGAGCCCAGAGATAGTGGAAACACTGGTAAAAAAAATAGTTTGATTATTGCAAAAAATGTTTTAAGGTTTGACATTTAAACATAACTATATCCAACAATAAAAAAAAAATGGTATTTTCATGTTCAACAACGTAAAACACAATATTTTATGTGGACAAATATATTAAATAATTACCAAGGCAAATTGTATAGATAACAACTTTAGTATCTTAAATTTGAGAATTTTTTTATCTTGATCCCTCCTAAAATTTTACCTATGGACACCTATGTTTCCATCATGTTAGTAGACAATATATTAGGTATACGTGTTTGACATCTTTAGTACAACTGAAACAGTAATACCTATATTGTACGAAAAAATKATYWAATATAAACATTATTATTTTACAATTTAGTAGAATAAAAATTTTATTGACTTATCCCATTCCAAAAATATKATAAAGTTTATTTTAAACAGAAAAAGTTGTAAATAAATTTCACTAAGTATATTAAATTATATTAAAAGTAAGCTAGTGAGTGTTAAGAATAAATGTAAAAGAATAGTTTTCATTGTTTTATTGCGTATAGCCTATTCTGAGCATAAGATAGCTGTTTATCAATGATAACTAAGAATGCATTTAAAAATATTTTACCCTAGACTGGGTAAAAACCTTGAAAATTCGTAGGGGTGAGGCTTTTTAACTTGCAAATTTTGGGAGTGGACTTGCAATTCTTGCTAATTATAACGAGTGTTTTGACGCCGGTTTCGAATGTTTCGGATAACAAGTAAGGGCTGCGGGAAGTTAGCCCTTCTTTGCTTTCACCCCTAATAATTAGCTTATTATTGAATGCAAATTCTTGCTAATTACTTGCAAATTTTTTTAACTTGTTTTAAATAAGAATAAAGGCCAACTTCATAGATGTATTTTTCAATGTAACTCAATAAATTTTTTTTTAGCTATTATTAGTACTGGAATATTTATTTAAATTTTTATAACTAAATGAAAATTATTCTTGATTAAATCTTAATTTCACTGTATTATCTTTTGTGGTTAAATTTATGGGCCCACCCAAAAAAATATTCCTGGATCCGCGCCTGGTTTGTGACATGATGTGTGCCAATTACGATGTAAACATAGACATATTAATATCTTCTACGTAGTTCTCTACATCGTGATCGTACCATTGAAAGATACGAGAGTAGTGTCACCTTGTCCTTATCTTTTCCCTATACCTTGTTCCCAAAAAAAAAGCCACCAGATTACGTACAAAAAACAGGTTTGCCTATAATAGCCGCCTGGTGTTTTCTCTTTTGGTACAAGGTATACATCGTGGTGCCGATATAGAAACAGAATTTATGGGCTTATTAACGGAGTACTACCGATGAATTCTTTGAATTTCAAATATTTGAAACTAAAATTTCGGAACAAAAGTTTTTTGAAAATAATTATTTTTGAATCTTTATAAAATGGAATGTACAACCCTTGAATATCTATTGACCATTATTGATATATAAGTAGTCCAAATTTATCATTTTCAAATAAAGAACATTCAATGTTTATAGATTACAAATTATGTCAGTTCCAGACTTATCAATTCCATCATTCCATGCAATGTCGATTCTAATTTATTATTATCAATCCATGTTTATTGTTTTTAATCAATGATGCTTCCAATAAATTAAGATTCAAAGATCCTTACATTCAAATAATTGTACATTCAAAATGATATTATTCAAAGTTTTTTATGTTTTACTGTTTTACATGAACGATGTACCCCTCAGCGCGGTATACATATAATATGATACATTTTATCAGCTTTTTTGCCACTATTGGCAATTGGCATACAAGCGCTAGTGGTGAATTTTCCAGCTGTTTTTAATAGTGATTTCGGTAGACACATTATCATGATTCGTTCTCTACCGTATTATCTTATATTAGTTATATTTATGAGTCCAGCTAAATTAAAAATTTGAATTCATACAATTTTAAATTGAAATGCTCATGAGATTATCAAGGAATTGAGCATCTAATTTTTATCTTATGTTGTAGAATTTTATTTGGATTGTTGAATTGCAAATAATATGTCGCTGCTTACGTCCGAGTGGGTTCCTTATGGAACTGAAAATTACTTCAGGTACAAGAATACTATGTACAAATGTTTTTTGACTTGATTCTCTGTAATATTATTATGACACAGCCAAGATTTTCAAAGATATTTAAATATATCTAATATGTATAAATCGGATTCACACTATGATATGAGTTGTTAGTAACTACATATCAATCTCTTCTTGAAAATCTTGAGTGTGTTTCAAACTATAAACTTATATTTCAAAATGTAATTTTTATATCAAATCAATAATTATAATTTATGTTACAAATTATTTTAGATAAACATTTTTACACCAGTAGATAATTACCATATTTCACCTTTTTTATTTGAATTGTTATTTATTTTAAACAAATGTTTAGAATTTGAATCTATGTTTAAAAATAATTTTTGACCCCGGTACTTCTTGAACCCTTGCTTCTAAAGTGTGTCACAGATTCCGATATATCTACAGGGTGATTCTTTTAACGTGAACCACTCATTATTTCAAAAAGTATTCCAAAATTCGATTTTTATGTATCAAAATACTTAGAAAAATATTCTGCTTTGGAATATGAAATTAAAACTCGATGTTGTCATTCAAAAGAGTAAAAAACTTAAAAAATTATAATGATAAAAAATATTTAAAAAAACATAATTTTTTAATAAAAACGTTGTTTTTTAACAAAATGAAACTTCGTAAAAAAATATTTTCAAAAACATTGATACTTTTTGAAATAATGATATTGATAAAAAAATCACCCTGTATAGTACTAATATTTTGAATACATGAATATATGAATTTATAAATTTGTTTTATATTTCCAGGAAACTTGAAATGTATTCGGATATGTATTGGTGTAATGAAATAGATATTAGCACATCTGTTGTAATTGCGGCCCCTTGTGGAGGACCAGTTATTGTTATACGCGATAGAACAAAATTGGTATCTATAAAAACAGTTGGAAAGCCAATAATTTCTGTTTACACATCATCTGGAAAAATTATTTCGTCTTTTGTGGTATGTAAAACATCAATACATGTATGACTTGTGTTATTCATTTCAAAATTGTAAACATTTATTTTTTAATTCTGATGTAGTTTAATCTTTTAAAAGTTTTGTTAATTATCAGTATTTTAAATGTAGAGTATTCTATATAATATTTTGTGTACCTATTATTGTATTTGGTAGATGTATTATTTACCAATTAGTATAAAAATAAGCTATCTGTAATGAATATAGAGAAGATAAACAATTAGTTATGTAGGGTTAGATACAATTAATAAGTTTGAATATGTTACATACCCATGTCTTAAATTGTTATTTCAAAATAAATTAATTTAGCATAGATCATAGATGTATGTAAAAATATGTTATTGTATATTATCTATTCTAATAATTTAATATTAATTATTATAATAGTTCATAAAAAGAAAAAAATGTAATCTATTTTTATTTTTATAGTGGAGTTCAGGTCATTTAATCAATTTAGGATGGTCAAATAATGAAGAAATATTATGTTGCCAAGATGATGGTTTGGTTTTAATGTATGATTTGTTTGGAAACTACCAGCATACTTTTAGTATGATTAAGGTTTGTTTTAATATTAAAATTAACTGAGTATCTACCTATTTTTTCTATTTTCTATGTTTATTTAGGATCGACAAGGTATTAAATTATTAGATGCAAGAATTACGAGTAACTTTACAAGAACTATAGTTGCAGTATTGACAGAATCATTCAATATTTATGTTATGAATGATATTACAAAAGTAAAAGTTCATATTTTACCAGATATTCCAGGTATCTAGATTTTTTTTAATAAAAAATATTTAATGAGGATTTTAACATTTTATAGTAAAACTGTTCTTTGTATAATACCTCAGCTTATAGTTATATAGTTGGATGTAAAACCGTATAATCTAATATACAATTTCTATGAAATTTGATTATAAAACATTATAAGTTATAACTTTTATTTTAATTAATTCACGTTGACCAAGTTGACATTTTTAGAATGGTGGGCTGTTTGTCTCTAGGTACCACTAATTCAACTATCTATACCCTTGGCATGTAGTAAATCTATCCATCCCTCTCCATTTGCTTGTCCCAAAGATTCCTTCTAAATATGAATGAAATTAAGAAAAGTAACTAGTAAGAACTAATTTTCAAACAATACCTTTGTCTCTACTAGGTGTGATGTATACTTAGTGTATATAAATTATATTTACTTAGTGTATAATATATTATATAAATGATATACACTAAGTGTCTGAAGAGAGGTCAATAATCCTTAGTTTTAATAAAACAGTAGTATTAGTGGCAGAATGTTTTATCAATATTTTCATTTTACTTTGATAATTATAATCATAAGATTTGTTAAAATTTATTTTTCTCAATCCACTTTTTATCCAACTAAAAATTAAAAATAATATTTTTAAATATTTTTTTTACAGATATGAATAGTTTTCCTAATTTATGGGAAATAGTATTATTAGAAAGACAAACAAGTGTATTGATTTCAACAAATCACTCTTTGTATTCTGTTTCTCATGCTGAATGCAAACAACAAGTATGCTTTTATGTTTTAAAAAAAAGTAATCACACATTTAATTTTGATAATAATTTTACAGTTTATTGGATTTAATGACACAGATTATAACAGTGATATAAGTCTTACAAATTCAATTAAGAAAATCTCTATTTCAGCAGATCACAAATATATTGCTTTATTAAATAATGACAATATAATATGGATTGGATCTTCAGATTTACGAAAAGTTTATAGAATTTATAGAAAATCTTTTTCTAGTTCCATTGATCAAATGGCTTGGTATTTACGATTATCAATATGCTATGTATTAAGTAATCTAATAATTAAATTTTAAATAGGTGTGGGACAGAAGGAATAGCACTGTATTTTAGATCAGAAGAAACAGTGATGATTATTGGTAAAATTGAGGATCAGGTATCTTTTATCTATACCGATCCTATTTGTTTAGTATCAGAAATTGACTGTGTTCGAGTAATAGGAGCGTTTTCAAATGATATGTTACAATTAGTACCTCATTATGTACAAGAAATTTTTCGTATTAATAGTACTAGCCCCAGTTCTTATTTAGTTGAGGCGTCTAAGCAATTTGAGGTGATTTACATAAACAAATGCCTTAGATGTTTATTTTAATAAAAATGTGGTTATTATTATATTTAGAGACGAAACCACCGAGCAAATGAATATATACATTTAGTAAATCAAATGTTAGAAACTGCAGTAGACCACTGTATCAAAGCTGCAGGACTTGAAATTGATACAACAACACAAAAGTTATTAATGAAAGTTAGTTTTAATATTCCTAATTAGTACAACTTGATAGTTATAGTTACTATGTTGAATGTATTATTATTCTTTAATATTACAAATATTAAAATTAGCTAACATTTTTAATAGGCTGCTCAATTTGGAAAAACATTTCTGCAAAACTGGAATCCAGAACCATATTTAAGTCTCTGTAGATTACTAAGAGTTCTAAATGCCGTCCGGGATCCAAAAATTGGTATTTCTATAACATATCCTCAGTAAGTATATGAATCATTTAATTTAAATATGTACTAATATACTATATATTTTATTTCAGACATGTAAACCTAATTAATTATCCACCTAAATTTAATTTGTTACATATCCTTAATATTTTTGTGTTTTTAGGTTGCAAAACATATCAGTACAGACATTATTGGATAAACTTGTTGGTCAACGGCATTACTATTTAGCTTTACAAGCTTCCTCTTACATTCGCATGTCCAACAATTTAGGATTCAGCCGTATTTTAACTCATTGGGCCAAGTTTAAGGTTGATATTTAAAAAAAAAATGTTTAGTTACTTATTGAATTAGTCTTATGTAGTGTTATTTCAGGTAAAACAAACACAAGTAGATAAAGAACAATTAGCAATTACAATTGCTGATAAACTTGGAAAATATTCTGGAGTTTCATATCATAGTATTGCAGAGATTGCTGCAAATAGTGGCAGAATACAACTTGCTATAAAAGTATGTATACATATCAATAAACATATATATATTTATTATTTATATATATTCAGAAACTATTTTTATGTCCATGGTCTCAATAACAAATTAAGGGTATGGCCAGCGGTCAGTTTTTCAGCTTTGAATGTTTCCACAGCTGAATCGTATAAGTGTGAACGCGTATCAGGCAGTTGCATTTAAAATTAAACAATTTGAATTTGTTAGAGGTTTAACTGCTATGTGTGGCCCTACTCTAATAATATTCAATCAAATCAAATTCTACTTTAAGTTTGCCAATCCTCTTTTTGGCAACCTTCTCAGTTCCTCTCATGTATTGATGGACACTGCTATCAACATTGGCGCCGAAGTCCTAAAAATCTAGTAGGGCGAAAAATATTTCAAGAGGCCCAACATCTTAATATCGGAAAAAATGGCATACCGTRGAGARGAAAATGGTCAATATGAAGCGGCCCCTATCTTAAATTTTCAAAATATGTCGGGCCATGGCCCGACCTTAACATAGGGTTCGGCGCCACTGGCTATCAATTATAAATATTTATTAATACTTATTTTTAAACATATAGTTTATTTTTAGTATTTTCTTATACTCTTTTAACATTGAGATTTTAAGAACCATACTGCTTAGTTATTAGTTTTCTTAAAATATGAATTATGTTACAGCTTTTAGATTATGAAACTCAAGTCAATTTGCAAATTCCACTGTTATTAAAATATCAACAAGATAGCATTGCCCTGAAAAAAGCTGTTGAAAGTGGAAATACTGATCTTGTTTATATGGTATTACTTCATATGCAAACATCTATGCCACTTGGAAAATTTCAAGTTAGTTTAAAGCTTAAAGTCAAAATAATTAAATTATTGAAAAAAATAATATATAGGTCATAATTACTAAATTCTAATCCGAGTATAATATTTTATATTTGTAAGATGGAAATAAAAAAAAGTTCTGTTGCTCAAGCTCTTTTCATAAAATATTGTCATCAGCAATCAGGGTATTCACTATTGGATATGTACACTCAAGAAGATAATCACGAAAAGTTGGCACTTTATCATATCACTGAAGCGATTAAATCAAATGTAATATTTCAAAATCTAGCATATTAAATTCATTAAGTATAATTTATTTTCATTTGATACGTTTGTATATTATTCTAGAACACTAAAGAAATGTCCGTATCAATTAATGAAGCTATTAACTGTTATAAAAGAACACGAGATGAATTTTCATTGACTACTTGTGAAAGTCATATAAAGTTAATACGATATCAAAGCAGTTTAGAAGAAAAATTGAAAAATAATTTTCGTAATTTGACATTGCATGACACTCTTCTAAAGTTAATAGAAATAAATGAACTGAAACTTGCTGATAAATTACGTTCAGAGTTCAAAGTCCCTGAAAGAAGGTAAATTAAGAATATTATTAAATATACAACTCTAATATGTTATAATCGTTATATACATGATAATATAAATAATAGGGAACAGACTGATGCAAAATACATTTTTAGTGGGTAGCATAGGGCAATGCTAAAAAGTAAAAGTAATTTGATTCATACATCAGAGAATTTAAAAATGAAACTTTTATTTTGCAATTTTCTAACTTTTTTGGTTTTTAAAGCATTTTTAGGTAATTTTTTATATATATCCACTACTTGGAATTATAAGTCTTAAAAATATACATTAAATGTAAATTGTTTTAAATGTTTAGTTTGGTCTCTTAAATTAGATATTTTTACAAAGACTATCTGATTGTATCTATCTACACGGCTATATGTAATTCCCATTAAATAATCTCGATATAAAAGTAATTGGTGTCCAATTATAAGTAGGTACTAATAGAGTCGTTAGTTGAATGTCAGTGTTCGTTTCATTCGAATAGTGTCATGAAAAATGCCGAACACCAAACCTTTCGACCGTTGTCAATCATGTGCGTATGTAAGTACAATTCTTATAAGTTTTTAGTTATAACAATATTATACATACACAAAACTGTTCAAAATTGAATTTAATATTTTTTAAGTTTTTAAGTACATTTTTTGATATTAAAGCATTTTTTAGGACATTTTTCTTATTTTTTAAGACATTTAAGTCCGTTCCCTAATAATGACTAATAGTCCTACCACTTATCAAGTTTCAACGTTATAATTATGTATAATGTTGCTATAGAATGCTGGGTTGATTTTAATTTAATTTTTTTAGATTTTGGTGGGCTCGATTAACTGTACTAGCAAAGCAAGAAGATTGGAATGAACTTGAAAAGTTATCAAAATTGAAAAAGTCTCCTATTGGATATGAGGTAAAGCACTTAATATAATTGAATACTGTTACTTTGCATAGTTTCTTACATTATTCTTTGACACTTATTTTTAGCCGTTTATAGATGTCTGTATTGAGCATGGAAATAAATATGAAGCATTAAAATATTTACCTAAAGTAAGAGATGATCTTAAACAAAATTATAGCACTAAAGTAACATCAATGCCTTAAACTTGTTCCTAATCAAAATGTTCTATTGATTTATAAAAAATAGGCTTACCTCTATCATTTTAAACCATTAGATTCAATGAATGTCTATATTTTTAAATTATTTTCATCATGTAAMATGTATAATAATTGTCCTACTATTTAAGAATATTTTAACCAACATGGATGATTAACACATATATTTACATGAGATTAATAAAGTGATGCGTCTTGCATCAAACACCTGCTATAAGCCTATTTTAAAAACTTTTGTTCAAATTAATTCTTATGACATTTCTGTGGTACGGCTTATTATGTTGTAAATAAATATTAATATTGCAATACATTATTAATTTTTTTAGTATACAGGGTGTCCCGTAAGGATATACCTACGGCTGTAGAGAGTATTTGTTACCAACACAAAAACCAGTTTTTTGCCATTTTAACTATAAACTAAAAAAATTATTAAAAATCATGATATTAATGAAATTAAAATGTTGAAAAGACATAATTTTCAGAAGAATAAACTCTATAAAATAGGTATCTTTATTTTTTTCAATCATTTTTTTTTACTTTTTTATTAAAAATAAAATACATGTAGCCCTTGTCTATTTGTTTCTAACAAAAACGAATTTATGGTATATTTAGTATCTCAGGAAATATGTAATGGGTAAATCCTCATGGGACATCATGAATATATCATTGTGTTATATTTTTATTGTTTGTTTTAAATAAAAATTATATTGTGCCAATCTGTTTAAATATTTTATTATACTTTATATACATTTTTAATTGATTATTTAATAACTTACCTAAGTAGTAATTTATTTTTTTTTTTGAACATTCATATTTTGCATTTTTTCTGATGTTCATATGATTAAAAAATAAAATGCACTATTAAGAGTATGTGACAGTGGAATTTGTTGTCTCCGTCTTACCAGTGCGTAATATAGCAAATTATTACAGTGAATCGACTTATTATGAAACTTGGTGGTAAGAACATTATCTGTGTTTGTACGTTGTTTTTTTACGATAAATCAATTTTCAAGTGAGTTATGAGCATTTTTAATGTACTGTATATTATATGCTCATAACTTACTTAAAAATTGAATTATCGTAAAAAACCAACGTACAAACACAGATAATGTACTTACCATACACTTTCATAATAGGTCGATTCACTGTAATTTTTAAACTAAAGGAGCTACAAGTGTTCTGYTGAGCGTAAATTTGCTATATTACGCACTGGTAAGACGGAGACAACAAATATCACTGTTAAGTACTCTTAAGAGTAGATCAATATGTTATCCTCTGATTGCCTGTTAGTATTACACATATTAAAAAAATTTGTATAAGCACATTATTATGTATTCGGTATCTATTTTAGTCTTTAAATTCTGAGCATAGAGATGAATGTATTGATTTTACAATATTGTTTTTTTTTTTGTGTCTACAAGAAAAGTAATCAAACAATTTTGTTGACTCAATCTGAAGATGGTTTCTAGTAGCTAATTGGATTTATATGGTATTATTTTCAATGAATCAAAATGGAAAATTCACAGCATTTTTTGCCCTTTAGTCTGTTAGGTGTCAAGACAAACAAAAGAAACATTAAGAAAATTTTACGGAAAACCAGAATAAATTGGGTTTTGTAGTAATAGTTAATCAAAAACAAATAACTGTACCTAGTTACTTTAAATTATTGGTTTATAACACATTATTTATAACTATTTAGTATCCTTAAAATAGTTCAAGTTTTAATTTGCTGTTCAGATTTGGGAAAATTTTTATACCTGACCTAAAAGTCTTGAAAAAAAAAATCGTCTCATGTATGAATTCAATAAACAGCCAATAGATGATAAATAATAAATATTTAGTTGGTAAATTTGAGTGGTATGTACTTTACTGCCTTTTGAATGGAGAATTGGGAGATGTGGCACTTGAGCCAAAACTCTCAGAGTCTCTAATGATTATTTGTTTGTGGCTAATAAGTAGCAGCTCTAATTGTATTACTAAAATTGCATAGGTGATTTATTGGCAAGTGCTCAAGTATTAGAAAAACAATGTTAACTATCATCTTTTTCGACTTCAGTATCTTTTAGGACTACATAATTGGGAGGTAATAATAACATAATGCCATAATATTTTAATCCATGCGCCTAACACGTCATTTTTTAAAAATAATATTAAAAATACTTCATTATTACTTGTATGGTATTTTTGAAAGTATTGTTTCATTGCTCATCTTAGACATAAACATAATCTATAGACATTAGTAGTTAATTGTTATATAACACTCCCTCACTCGGCACGTTAACTTTTAATAAAATCGTTCTAGTAACCTACTCCCATCAGTTCCCCATTATCATAAACGATGTATCGACCTATACATATTATTTGTGTATCAAGCCCGTCGTCCGTTATAATTTTTAAATCATGCCCATTATCAACTTTCGTTCCAATCGTACTCACTTTTTACTTAGATGCAACTCACTTATTATGAAACGTCGTACCGTAGTTTGTGTATCACTATTATATACACATACAAATAGAGTCTCGACAGCTAGCACAGAAAATCGTGATTTATGAGCTGACAAAAATATTGATTTTTCTCAAGTTCCTTAGTCCAAATACATTTAAATATAGGTAATTACCTACCAAGTGTCGAAACTAATGACCCTCCGGTTACAGTGCAATCGATTTTAACGTTAAAAAAATATATAATATAATGCAATACTATACAACGAACTAACGAATAAAAATATAATATGATTATTTTACAAAATGCCTGCAGTTTTTCCATTACTGTATTCTTGCCACCAAATGACAGATAATTATACGCTGTCAGAATAGGTACCTATGATGTGCATCATAACATAATAGCACAAAAAATCAGAGTAGGTACTGGTTAGTTTTTTTTATGATAAATTGTATATATTATTATTTACACGCGGTAATAACAGGCGATCCTCGCCTTAAGTAAAAGTATGTTTCCGTACTTGACCCAGGGTCAATGAAAAATGTATAAGAATACATAAAGCGATTAATTTGTGTTTTTAAAAATATATTTATGAAACAGGCACAACTGCAAAAACGATATAATTTAATAGTTGCAAATAACATAATACATATTATATTTTATTATTTTTGTTATTATGTTTAATCGCTCGAATAATTTATTTTACATTTCAAAATTAAAATGTAAATTAACATATAATGAAAACCACAATGCAATAAGCGTGGTGGCGGCGGTGATTAAATGACGTTATAAAATTATAAATAATAAGTACATAATAATTTATAAAGTTTTTGTTTACTAGTATTTGTTTATTATGTAGGTAGGTGTTATTATTTTTATTTCTAGTCGTTGTAACACACTGACATGTATACGAGTATACCTACCATGTTTATCGTTTATGTATATTAGTTTTTTAAGTGTTGAACATAACGATGATAACATATTAGTCATAGCATTATAGTAAGAGTAATATTATATTATGGCTAATAAAAAAATGATATAAATTGGAAAATAATCGCTGGCTATGATTTATCAATATAATTAATAGTACCTAGACAGCCATAGGTATAGGTAAACGTATAGATATTGGGCATACCTACTACTAATATATCTTTATAAATTAAAATACACTGTAAGGTAGAAGTTTAAACTGATTGGTCCGAGGGAACTATTATTTTGATTCTAAAAGAATCGATGAAAAATATATACTAGTCTTAAAATTATATATTTTTTTAAATTTCAGTTTCACTCAGTATTCTCATTACAAGCAGGTACCTGCAGTATAGATTATTTTTTTATTCAAATTTTTTTAAATTTTTTGAACAAAATATTTTCGATGATTTAACGCCTTATTTACTTAATCTTCTTATAATAAACTCATCAATTATGAAACATTGAAACGTTTTCGCGCAATGTCCTCTTAATTCTCCTATTCTCCTAATTTTTTTCTTAAGTAATACTTATATTTCTCGCTTCGCATGCTCACTTCAAAAAAATCAGTCATGATATACCTAATAAATGTATTGTCTCATAACTTTAACGTGCTGACTGATCACTGATATATGGGCTTCACGCATAACTTGCTACAAAACTGAACTATCGTAAAAACAAAAAACCCAATTACAAACACACGGATAATGTTTTTAACGTCAAGTTCCATAATAGGTCGATTCACTCAAATTTTTAAACTAACGGAGCTAAACGTGATCTTCTGAGCGTATAAATTTACCATGTTATGCTGTACTTTTAAGACGGAGACAACAATAATGGATGTGTAGGTAGCGTCCTCTTAACATAATAGGCATAGCCAATAAGTAGGTATATATTTTTAAATTCTTAGCCTAGCCGCGACTATATAGGTGGAGCATGTAGAAATATTATACTACATTTATATCGTGATCGTTTCTGCAGGTGGCAAATGTTTGGTATCTGGTACTTTGTAGCCTCGCAGGTGGGTCAAAATTAGAAATAGATCTCAAAGGAGCCATTGAGAATTAGTGTGGTACGTGCGGGGTCGTGATGCCGCGCCGTTCACTTATGTAGTTTATGATGTTATATTAAGTGTAAGTTCAACAGTCAACACGGGCCAATAGGATAAAAATGACTGATGTGACCCACTTTTATAATTTGCAGCGTTTTTAAATATTTTTGCTATATAAGCGGTACCTGCAAGGCACATCAAACCTTCAGAAATTATTTTTGAAGTCTGATGCTAAAGCTAATATTTCTTCTTTCAAATTTCTTATGACATCCCCCCCCCTCTCATCAATAAATTTTGATGGTTCCAGCTCTGAATCCCAATAATGGCAGTAATTTTCATAACGATTGCAAGAAAAAACTAAAATGGTTAGTAATAATAATAACAGTGGTAATAAGACAGGAACATATTTACGCAACAGTTACAACGCTTTCAGTTTTTGACTTTAATTCGATTACATTTTTTTTTTTTTTTGTAAATTTATAAAGAAGTTATTGTTGGGACTTGTTCACCTAATATTTATACCAGCATTATGA